GAGGCGCGCGCCTTGGTACCACCTGTCGGTCCTGAAGAGACGGTAAAGCGCATAGTGATAGTGCCATTCGCTGGAAATATGAAGTCATTCAGTAGTTGCACACAAATAAATTTGGATCTACCCAATTGGACTATACAATATGTGGCGGTTAATAGCAGTGACAAGTGTGATTTGGTAGGTGACAAAGATTATGCCGCCGCAAGCTATGAAACCCTCTCTNGCGGTTAATAGCAGTGACAAGTGTGATTTGGTAGGTGACAAAGATTATGCAGCAAGCTATGAAGACCTCTCTCTCTGCCTCTCGCTTTAAACTCTCCCTTTTTTCTTACACAGTATTTGCAAAAGCATGCTATTCTCGTTGATGTTGGCGTACTCAAAGAGCTGCCGGATCCGTTTGCCTCGCCATTTCCCGAAATGTTTTATATACAGGCAAAACTGGCAGGCATAACCGTAAGTAGCTTTGCACACAAAAAGTTTCTTAAACAACACCTTAACCAGCTGCTTATTTCAACTTACAGAAAACGGTCTTTCCACAATCTTTCCAAGATGGTCGCCGCCTTTTTGCTTCGTATCACACGAAACAGCGCCGCACCGAAATTCGCCGCCGTCAATTCAAGGACTTATACAAGAAGCTGCAAATCAAACGGATTATTCGTCGTTCACATAAGGTGATCTCGAAAACGGATCAAAAAGAAGGCGGTGGTGGTGGCCCACATCACAGTCTTGTGCTCGACACACAATTCTCTTCTTCGAACTTCAGCTTACCGCTGGTGACCGAAATCGATTTAATCGGTTGTGAACGCACGACAAAGTCTTGCGTGGGTGCGGTTTACAATAATCAACCCTTCTACATTTATTTGAACAAGCATACGCCACCGTGTTGCCTTGACAAACTCAAGACCACATTCAATCATGTGCTCGAAGAATTCGAGAATGTCGGCATCCGCTACTGGTTGGATAATCAAGCGTTGAAGACAGCCATCGAAACGAATCGTTTGCATCCGGATGCGTACGAAATCGATATTAGTTTCAATGTAAACGATCTAGAACGTTCGAATGCTATGAAGAAGTCCCAAAATAAACCATATGTGGACAATGAGGGCTTTTATTGGATCAAGGCGACCGATGGACATTACTTTAAAGTACAATTTTCAAAAATTAATCAGATTGGCGTGAATCTGCTGCCGTTCGAAATTAACGGCAATGAAGTGAGGCCAAGTGGATTTTTTGGCTGGAAAGCAAAAGAGTTCTCCGCAGACTATCTGCATCCAATGTCCACGGTGCTCTTTCTGGGTAAAAATGTGATGTGCCCCAATAATGTGCGAGAGTTTTTGGATTTCAAAAATGTCAAATAGAGTGTATGAGGCCGTGGGTCCAGTTAATGGAGCAATGTTAGTCTATAAAAAAAAAAGTATTTTAAAAAGGGATTGAAGAAAGAAAGAAGGACCAATGNTGGTAGGAAAATGCATTGATACAACAAAATGAGTGCTTGAACCTAAAAACTGGATATAATTTTTGGTAATTTAAACAAAAACCCGACATATTTTTTTGGTTATCCGAAAGCATCACATAGTTTTTTGGCACTCTGAAACTGTACATAATTTTTTGGTAATTTAGAAGCTGGACAAAAATTTTCGCTCACTTAAAATTGGGCATATGTTTTTGGTTATATAGAAGATTAAATATGTATGATTTTTGGTGAGTTTAAAATTGGCCATAAAATTTTGAGTTATGATCATATAAAAATTGGACATAAAATTTCATTATTCAAAAATGTATGGTATTTTAAAACTGGTTATAAATTTTTAGCGGTCTTAATTCTGGTTATAACTTTAGGGAACGGGATATATGTACATAATTTGTAAACTAGACATAAATTTTTATTCATTTGTAAACTTAAAAGCTGGGCATACATTTAATCGGTAATTTTAATTTTGGTAGTTTAATTTATGGTCATTTAAATTTTGACATTTATTTTTGCCGTTAAAAAAATTAGAGATAAGTTTGAAACGGTAACATAGATAAGTTTTGGGACTTTAAATTATTTTAGCAATTTTTGGTAGGTTGAATTTTTGTTTATCTACTTTTGGCATTCATTACAGGTGCGTTAAAAAACTAAAAATAAGTGTTTTGGTAATTTCATAACAGGCACAAAAATTTTTGGTCATTAAAAAAGGGAGCATAAATTCTTGATACATAAAAAACTGTCATAAATTATTGCCCATTTAAAAACCGGACTTAAATTTATTTTGGTAATTTAAAAACTGGTTATAAATTTATGGTAATTTAAATTTGGCCATAGGTTTTTGAGTAATCCTAAGCACAATACATAAATTTTGAGAATTTTATAACAGGAATAAATTCTGGTAGTTAAACCCATTGAACGCAAAAATTGATTTGAATTCTTTGGTAAGTTTAAGGAACCCGACATATTTGTTTGGTAATCATAAAAGCAGCGGAGTTTTGGCACTCTGAAAAATGTACGATAACTTTTTGGTAATTCAAAATGTGGATATACAATTTTGGTCACATAAAACTGGGCACTGGTAATTTAAAAACTATGCATAAACGGAACATACATATATTTTGGTAATTAAAAAAATTTTGGTAGAAATTCTGTCATTAGATTTTTGGTCGTTAAAAAATCCAGATACATTTTTGTTAATTTCGAAACTGGCCACACATTTTTGGTCGTTAAAAAAGTGGCCATAAATTTGGTCACATAAAACTGTTATGCATTTTTGTTCATTTAAAAACCAGAGATGCATTTATGGTAATTTCAAAAGTGGATATACATAAATTTATGGAATATAAATGTTTGTTACTTTGTTACTGTGTGTTGTGTTTGTTACTGTGTTCATTCAAAACTGGGAACAGATTTTTGATAATTTAAAAACTAAACAAATTTTTTTGGAAATTTAGATTCTGGACATAAAGTTCGAGTCATTTAAAAACTGGATATCTTTAGCTTAGAGTGAAAAGTTGCTCAGTCCACTTTTTTTTGAATGTTATAGGAGAGCAAAATAACTGCTTATAACCGTTTTCTTCAAATATTTTGCGAAACTTTGAATAGAACATTTTGCATTTTCAAAGCAAATCAACTCTCCATACGAATCGGGAGTATTCGATGTTCATTAAAAATTTCGTATTATTTTGGCATTTTAGAATGTTCTCTTTTTTTTGTGGACTTGGGAGGTCTGACTTTCATTGATAAAAAACGGGAAGAAATAAAACGTCAAAAGTTGTGATATATAAAAAAACTTGAAATACATTCTTTGCCATTAAAACTGGGAATGCAATTTTGCCAATTCAAAAATTATTCGTACATTTTTGATTATTTCACAAATTATTGTTTTGTCTTTGAATTGCCTAAAGTATATATCCTGTTTTCACTTCTGAGCATTCTTTAAATGTGGCCATAAGACTTTCACTACATTTGAGGAGCATACGAGGTGCAAGAGTTTTGAATAAATTAAAACGGCAAAGGATTAGATTTTCAGCCTTGCAGAAGACGATTAGAATAGAAACTATGCTGGAATTGTATATAATACGTAATTAGAGAGCATAAATTAATTTATATATGCATATACATACATTTCTTAAATCAAAAGCCAAACCAAATATTTCGACCGACAAGCCACATATAGGGAAATAAAATTAAACAGCAACTTACAATTTAAAACATAAAACACTTTTCAAAGTGGTGACAGTTCAAAATTTATTTTGTTTGAAACTAAAAAATTTAACTAAAACAAACCGAATTTTTTTTAATACTAACTACATATTTTTATTAAAATACTAATCAAAAATTTAACAAAACATGAAGATTTCATAAAAAAACAAAATAGTGTTTAGTGATGTAAGACGTGTACGTCGTTTAAATTCAACATACAAAAGAGATAAATATAAATAAGATCAAACTAAATCAAGTTGTTAAGATAGCAAACAAAATATGAGTATACATTTCAATAGAAACTCATAATAATATCCAACATGAATATACATAGTAAATAGTAGCTAATTTTATTTAAGCAAAATTTTAGAGAACACCAGATATTTATATAAATTATGCAGCAAACTTTAATTGCCACCGCAGAGTAGAAATAGCGAGCCATTAATTTTTTTGTTGCAACAAATGAAATCCGAGTATTGAAAATTTGCAATGAAATTAAAATGATCTTTATTGGTCTTTCCGGCAGGAAAACGCGGTCCGCTCCCCAACATTTGTATATAAGAATCAAAAATTTTTTACACCCAAGTTTGATATACGTTTTATTTTACTATATTATATATTGTTTACAAATGCAGAGTGTGCTTTTTGAACACTCCATGCGAATTAATCGTAGTCCATGGTGGAATAATAACAAGGTGTTGTCAGTAGCGACGTGTTTGTTGTGATTTTGACAAGATCGGCATGCTTATTTTCAGTGCTGCCGATCTTAATTTTTATACTACTATTCGTTGGGAAATAGTATCTTAAAGACTCCATTTTAGTAATTCGTTTTACCGCGATTTTTAAAGAACAATATTAGTATTTAAAATTGCTGGATTTGTATAGTTTTTGTCCTCAAAAAGTAGAAGAATAAAAGATATCGTGGTTATCAATGGAAAAAAAACGTACCCAGAAATCGTATGGAATGGCGCTTTTTTATATTAAATAACTTTTGCTGCATTCCCATTATATTGAGCCAAATGAACTACTGATACACTAGAATAGAGTGGCTGCATGGTTAAATTAGGAATTCGCTTATATTATCGATATTTATGTGTTTTAATATATTTAGAAAATCATGTACAGTCTTATAGGAAATTGCCTTATTTTACGGCTTTTACTTTTTTAAAGTTACAATATATGTCCAAGCTGTGTGGAGCTGCCGATACAAACATATATTAAGGCTTATAAGCCTGTAATTTACATTTTGCTACATTTAATTTGAATAGTATGCACCAACGGATTAAAGGTAGTAAATAATTAGTACCTTTTCTAGTACTTTAAAATGCGTGACCGGAATAGACCTGCCGAAAAAGTGAGGTTAAGTTACTGACAACACCTCCAATATTCTCTATTGATTCTCGTACGCGTACGAGAAGCATAAAATAAGTCCAGATCGTTCGCGTTCGCGAATGTTAGGTTGAAAAAATTTCCGCTGTTGTTCGTACGTGTATGTATTGGAGGACCAAATAGCGTGCATTCCTATATGTACATAGCTACTATATGTAAATTGCATCGATACGTTCGCGAAGGTTCACTGCTGTCGTTCTCGTTCATAAGTGAATGTAAATGCTGCGTCAAACATTAGCGGAAAGTTGGTGTGGCTAGAGACTATTCTATGCGAAGACAAATTCATTCGATTTTCCAAAATGAGCCTTGGCCTCTAGATATAAGCTGGTTATATGTACATATGTAGTAAGCTTATATTTTTTTAATAGGGTTGCCATCTGCTTATAAAATTATGATATTTACACCATTCGCCCCATTTTCAAATATGAGGCGCCAAACGAAGAGGATTGGCTAACAGATGAGAAAGTAGGGTTTATTTTTTCGAATAGGATTTCCACTTTTTTATATGCCCTTGTTTTTAGCTGATTAATTTAAGAGAAATTTGGACAAGTTTTCTCTATTCTTTCTTTTGTTTATTTAATGTTATATTTTTTTTATAAAAGTCTGGCCCATTACATAACCAGCACCACATAAATCCACATTTAAAACTTCGTACAAAAATTCAACAAACTTTAACAAGTACATATACCCAAAAATTTCAAACATTTTTTTAGGTACGCAGTTTTCTAGCCCATTTAATTTTAGTAGATTAAAGTGCAAATTTTAAGACGCTAGGAAATCGCTGTTTTTTAATCATTTTTTTTGCTGACAGTGTTGTGCATTTTCTTCCTTATAATTTATGCTCGACAATTTCTTTTATAAGGAAGCAAAGGCCTAGTAAGGCCAGCAAAAAAAAAANAATAAAATAAATTTCAGTGTCAAACTGTAATGCTCACCTCTAAATAATAAATATTAAAAATTTACACAAACACAAATTAATAAAAAATAAATTATTTGATTTCTAAAAAAGCACAGCTTATTTGTTTTATTTGTGAACAAAATTTTAAGTTATTCCTATTTTGTAAACACAGGTATGTATGTATGTATGTAAAATAGATCAGTACAAAGGTTTCGTAACGAATTTCTTTGACTCGGCAAGAAATTTTAAAGGATATGTATCTAAAGTTTTTGAATAACTAAAAAAAACTAAGGTATTTATAAATAAAATGAAATGACTGCACAGGAGCCACAACTGCCCAGCACGCTCTCTCTTACTTTAACTCTTCGTCGTTGTAGGTGTGTCCGGCACCACCATATCGCTGGGCAACTCGCGCACCAGCGACAGCAATTTGTCCAACTTTTGTACCTGCAGCGTATTTTGATCCAGATATTGCTGCTTTTTAGGCGGTTTAACCATTAGCCGCAAATTGGGTGATAATTTCAAAGAAGTAACCGTACTCCTGTAATCGAAATATATACATATGTAAAAACACAAATTTTTTCAAACGGTTAGATAGTAGATATATTTCTCTT